GTTGGCGCTTGGCTGAAGGAACAAACAATCTGCTTACTATACCGGGTTCTCATTGTTCTGCTAAACTTCCACAGAAAAGTGTTTTACTTACAGAATATTTACCACCAAGCTTGCTAGTTTTTACTCGTTCGATATAATTGTTGCCATGTTTATAAAAGAAAGCAACTAACGTTCTTATTTTCCTTTTTGGGTATGGTAACAATGGCGACAATAACGTGAATATGCACGCTGAATTGGGCATTTGTATGCTTGCAAAATGCAACCCCACAACATGCAGCAGTCTATGTTTTAGTTTCGATATGCATGTGTGTTGTCCAGGCTGGTAAAATGATATGAAAAGTTTCATGTAACGAGGGATTTATGCTTGAGGATGAAGTCAATATTTTGAAAAGATCAGTGATTTATTTTATCTGATCTTTCCGCAGAAGCTCTGTACTTTCATATTTTTTTTCTCTTTTGTGCCAGCCTCTGTATTTCCCTCCAAGAAATTGAAGAACGGAACACTTGGCGCAAAACCAATCAAAGCGTGCAAAAAATTAAACTTGCACATAGGGCAACCTACATATTATACATTACATCTGCTCTATGATAATATTTTCTTTTTGTTGGTAATGTATACAGATTTGTCATAGTGAAATTGGCGGAAATTCGGAAAGAAGTCCAGTGCCCTATCTGTTTAGGTATGTCTTTGGGATACTAAATTTTGGATTATAACTGAATCAATATGGCAAGTAAGGCATTTTGATCTCTTCTGGTTCTATTTTTTAAGAGATATTATTGTTGGGTACCAGCTTAGACCTAGTTTGGGAGTGAGGTGCTTAAAAAAAAAGCACCTATGAAAAAAAGATGTGAGGGTTTTAGGTGTTTGGTAAACTGAAAAAAAAGGGCTTATTTTGAAAGCTGCTGTGAGAATAAGCTGAAATTAAAGGAAAAAGCTGAAGCTGCTATTTGCAGCTTTGGAAAACTGGCTTTTTTTCAAAGCACATGGAGCTACAGTGCCCCTTTAATGAAAAGACCCACTATCAGACTGCTTTTTTTTCCAAAAGCACTTTTACAAAAAAGTTTACCAAACGCTCTGCTGCTTTATTTCACAGCCGCTTATTCTCACAGCAGCTTTTTTTCAAAGCACAGCAATACCAAACCAGCAAAGCTCATTATCTATTATCAAAGGGAAGTTGATAGTTCAGTTCTAGAACATCATAGTGGGTTTGCATGCTGTTATGTTGCAGCATTGATATTAGATTATCTTGAAATGCCACTGTCTTAAAACTTTTCTTGTAAACAAGTCAGAAATATTGGTTTTGTTAACTTGTCAGAAACCATATATTGTATGTACCACTTTGTCATGGCCGAAACATCAGCTACCTAAAAGCAGCCTTATTGATGTGCTAAAACCATTCAGATGGTCTTGATCTATGTCAATTGTGCAGGCTGAAATTAATGTACAAATATTGAGAGTTTTCACATCCAAGAGTTCTTCATTCATATTAGATTTTTTCTAAAAACTGAGACAATGAATCAGACTATATAAAGTAAAGTACTCATTGGTCCCTTTTACACTCGTACATTGTATGAGATCTCACCAATGTTGTGGGTGCGGGCTAGTCCTTTTAAGCGTTTAACTCATAACCAGGACCATAGCCACATACTTTCCTTTTCATTTGCATGATATAAGCATCAGCTCTTGTGCTCTTTGGTATCCATAGGGATCATTCGGAAAACAAGGACAGTGATGGAATGCCTGCATCGCTTCTGCAGGGAATGCATTGACAAGTCCATGCGCCTGGGGTATGCTTTCTTGTTATACAAATTTTGTTTGATGATGTCACAAAGTACTAGATAGTTTGAACTCATGGCCTGATTTCTCAATCTAATATTTAGACTGGTAACTGGCTTTCGCTGCAGGAACAATGAATGCCCTGCATGCCGCACCCATTGTGCTAGTCGTCGCTCTTTGAGAGATGACCCAAACTACGATGCCTTAATTGCAGCTATATATCCAGATATTGACAAGTATGAGGAAGAGGTATTATGATGCTGATCATCTCATACTGTGAATTTTTTTTTTTTTGTAAGTTACATTTTAATTGAGAGCACTGATATTTGATTATCTCCTCTAGGAATTGGCCTTTCATGAAGAGGAGAAGGCTCGCAATAAGCAGGTGAAAATTTCAGTTTTCAAGTTTCTGTTGGGGTTAATATGTATATATTTTAATTGGAAGTCAACCCCAAATACAGAAAAATAACAAACTACGAATTATTATAGTTTTCTCGTGCAATTGATGAGTTCTCTGATTTTGTAAAACCCTGGAACAGTAATTCATTGGAACTTTGGTTAAGACTTGATTATCTACTTGTATGTGGGTCTTATCTGTGTCCTATTACCGAAAATAATGCAATTTCCACATAACCTTTGATGTGGTTTTAATAAGGTATTACACTAGAATCATCGTGTTTCATCATTTAGGTGTTACATGTCACCACGAAGTTAGTGGCAAAACTGTACAGAGATTTCTTTTTGTTCCTAGTTTGTTACTTCGGGTGCTTGATTTTTGAGCTTATTTGCACAGATCCAAGCTTCCATTGCCCAGACATTTCAACGACAAACCGAGGCACTAGGAAGGAAACGAACAACAGCTAAAGCCACTGCAGCTGCATTTATGAGGAGATCACGGGGTAGCTATCGAAATGCGAGGGGGAGAAGGAACTATAGAAATGTTGCTGAACATCATGGGTCCGATGACACTGAGGATATAAATGGTGATGATGGCAGTAGAGATTTATCTTCTGGTGATGAGCGCACAGAACCAAGACCAAAGAGATCCAAAAGATGGAGAGGAGGTCGATATTATCAGCCCTCGTCGGCAGCTGCTAATGCAGATAGTGATGATGAAAATGATTATGAAATGAACAGATCAGAGATTCTGGGTGCATCTGTGGGGCGTGTTGGCAGCTCAGAGAGGCTTTCCTGGGGAAAAGGTGGCATGCGGAGTCATACACGGTATGGCAGTTCAAGTGGTGGCAATGGTAAAAATGCCAGGAACATCCGCCTCTCTAGGTTGGTAGAGTATCTTCGGAACTCGGGAGATAATGATGACGAGGTAATTTAGAGTTTAGGCCGACGATCTTGTCATGACTCTTCTCTGCTAGGGGACTGAGTAGTACCCTTTCGAGATCATACCTGCACACACGCTATGTATATATGTGTATTTAGAATTTTTATCTGGCAATCTGCTTCGGTACTGTGATGGTTGGATCAAGCGTTTCTCATTTTTTTCAGTTGGACATCCACCTCCTGCTTGTTTCTCTCGATGAGCAAAGAATACCAAGTTTGCAGCGGCCATATCTTTGCTGCAGGTCTACCCTTTCAGTTGGACATTTATGTCAGGTAATTCTTCCACTCACTGCATTTTTCATTTGGTAGCACTTCACTATCTGAAGGCTTCCATCACTATACTGAAACTAGATTTATTTGTATACAGTATGTAGCTCTCCGAACCGCTTCTCAAGCTGAAGAAATTGAAATATACTTGGTGAAAGAGCTGCATGCCGAATTCGGTCATTCAACTGCCACCAATATTAAAATTTCCAAGTCTCTTGTTCTAGATTCAAGCAAAGAAAACCTGCAACTTTTAAAGGAGGAAGAAACTTTGGCAGAACTTAGGACTCACAATCTCATTCCGGGCTATCTGGTGAGCACTTCCTTCAAAGTTCCCACCATTGACAGTCGATAGAGCTAGCGAAAACTTGTGCGTGACAAAGGCGTGCGCGTCAAGAAAGAAAAGTTTAAAGTTCTTAAAAATTCCTACACTTCTTTTAGTATTCGTGCTAATTTGTGTGATTTTTTCAGATTTTGGCATATCAGAAGAAATGGAACTGAAGCCAACGATGGCGAAAAATCTGTAAACAAGTGGTTCTGCTTCTTCTTCTTTCCCTTTAATGTTTTTTTATAGTGTTCACTAAGCTGGCATATGTTGTTGAATAGAAGACAGTGTCTGTTTTAGAAGCTCGCCAAGTACACAAATGGTGTGAGCAATTTAGATGCAGATGAAAATCTCCATATCATGTTCCGAGCTTGTTACCAACTCAACTCTTATATCATGGACTTTATGGATTTCCTTCGAGTCTTCAAAATAGTCTTTTGAATCAGGCAGCATACCGAAGTTGAAAGTACACTCGCTCTCTCTAGATTTACATGCATTGCGGGACCGCCACCAATAATACAGTGTGGGGAGGTTAAAAAGTAAAGTATTGCATTATTGGCCAGGAGAGATTTCTCGATGCGACCGTCACACGAAATAATATATTATTTGTATAAAAATACGTGATATATCATCTGTGTTTTCGTTATAATTAAAAATTTCTCATTAGCAAGAGATGTTACAGTGGGTTTCTGAAGAGATGGGTCGAGAACGTGGCCTGGTTGAAAACTTGAAAATAAAATTTTCAATCAATTATATTATCACTTGATGTATCGTGTACTTCACATACTAAAAAATAAATATAAAATATATACATATATAAAAAAAAAACCATTTCAGAGGGTGTATTGTAATTTCCCCTTCTGATGGGTCCCACTCACCAACCTCCATGTCACGTCTCAATTGCAATACTCTCTCCCTATCCATTCACATGTGGATTCATTTACATTGACGATAATACAAGTTAGAACATTACACATTACAATGTAAGTGAAGATAATTCTTTTTGTCAAATACCGTTTCACTTGTATTATAACATATGATATGACTACATATATTTTCAATTTACTAAAAAAATTTTGCGTATGATAATCTCCACATCGGTGACACCACCAACTAATAACCCCACATATTTTGTGAAAAAGTTAAAACTGCCTTAGTTTTTTCCTTCTTTAAAATGAGTTATTAATTTAAAATACTTTCGCAATAACGTATTTAGGGGTATAAAGTCCTCCCAATCCTCTTTGAATTCTAATCCCGTTTAGGGATAAAACCCAAATAATTAAGTGCATCATAACATTTAATAACATAGAAAATAATATTTATTTATTTAATTATAGTAAAACACGACAGCAACTCCTCACCACCATCCAACGGTAGATCTGACCAACAAAGAGTCATCATCACCGCACAAGTGTTCATACAATCTCACTCACATTTCATAACGCCTAAGAGTCTAAGACAGTGAGCTCTCTCTCTCTGAGGAAGCCCTAGTTAGAAAATTCAAAAGGACACCTAATCACATAGCCATCGGAAAACCCTCATTGGGGCACGTGGCAAACACTGAGATGAAAATGTTCACTATTTACATGCAACCCCCGGTGGCTGCTGGTCAGTTCAGTTGTTTGTTCATCACCTTAACGATGATGCTTGCTCCTGGTCTCCCCACTGTAGAGCCTGTGAGATCAGATCGTACGTTAAAAGATTTAACCCATGACAGCAACAAGAAAACATATAGATCGAAACCCAACAAACAGATCATTGATCTACGGCTTAGATCAACTAACTTACGTTAATTTTAGAAATATGCACAAGAACCGGCCATAAACCTGTGTTAAACTGTTCTAAAAATTCCCGCTTAACCCTGCTCGGCGCTAGACAACTAATCACTATCCCAATCAAACTGTTCTATTTTGTAGTTTACGATGAAATTATATATATTTTAAGTATAAATACATTTATTTACCCGAAATATAATAAATTTGCTAAAATCCACCAAGACCCCTAGACGTTAGGCTCCAATCTGTTGCCCGACTAGCACGTCCTTATGGACCCTACGATAAAATGGAATGAAACTAGACCGACAATAAGCCGTAAACAGTGCATATAGTATCCTTATCTGTATCTTTCGGTTATTATTTCGGTTAAAAGTTTGTAACCAGTTTTGTAAGTTACTAGGGTTAGGCTACGTATACATACCAGTCGTAGACAGTGGGAGAGTTGGGCTGTGGCTTGTCGAAAACCTGGTTACCCATGGATTTGGAGGCAAGGTTGCTACCAGGGTGGAAAACACTCCTCCAAACGTTGTCTTTAGCACGAGCAGATACTGGTGTGCCTGGGGTTCCTGGGGTTCCTGGTGTTCCCGGGCTCATCGGCATCGCCAACTTGCTCGACTCTCCTTCCCCTTCTACACATCACCAAATTAATAATTTTTAAAACCCAGAACAAAAACATCTAAATACATAGCAAGTAACATATTAAGAAGCGGTAAACTTCATGTCAAATAGAAACATGTGCGATCGGATAAGAAAGAACGAACGTCGTGCTCAGAGAATTACAACTGAGTACCTTTTGCATTCAAGGGCCTAGGAGACACCTTCCTAAGCCTGCCGAGGCCGCGTTCCGGCTGAGGTCCGGCGACAATATCATCCCAAAGCTTTTCAAGAAGAACCATTTTTGCTCTCTCTCCCTCTCTCTTCGTTTCTTCTCTTTTCTTTCTCTCTCTCTCTCTCTCTCTCTCTTTCTATCTGATGGTCTTTGGGGCTAGATGGTTGTATTTATAATACAACTTGAAGCTAAAATATCTCATCCCTCATTAAAATTTTGCTAATTTGCCATCTTTTGTTTTGCTACTTCCAGCTGGTAGCATTAACATTTAATCACGGATTATTGTGGGCAGTGCGTAGGGTAACGATTAGGGATTGTGTTTTGTTTTCACACACATTTCACTTCGTACATAATTTTATTAACATTTAGTCATTAGTTCCTTTTAACTTATTCAATTTAACTGCAAAAATTATACAAAATTTGTGAAAAATGAAAATAGGTACGTAATCTAGCGATAATTGTTTTATGATGGCTATAGGACAAATGATAGTAGAGAAAAGGACGAAGGAAACCAACAAGGTCCTTTTCGGATTCTTTTGATGATGATCTTGTAGTTTTGTAAATCGTGTTCGTTTATCTTACATTGTACGATCAGTTTTGTTAAATACTATTTATGTTTATTTTTAAATAAAAATATTTAAAAGAATTTATGATAACACGATTTACGATAAATAAATACAATTCACAAATTTTTTAGATCCTCGCAGCAGCGAGAATCCGGACTCCGAGGGAAATGGATAAGAATGAAGACTTGGTAAATGTGGGTCCCGCCAAAAAATATCCATCACATATCTAAATGTGATTGAGTTGGGGCTTTGCTTCACAAGTGTACGCTCACTTTACAAATACTTGTCCTATTCCTCAGAGCAATGTGGGGCCCACACAGTGATGGGAGAGACAGGGCTCAGATTGACACGTTGGAACCTCTTTTGTTGTCAAGTAGACTAAAGTTATCCGTATATTAGTGCTATTTACACATTCTATTTTTACAGGCTCACGTTTTTATTTTAGTTTATTACCGTTTGATAAAACTGTAGTCAATTCCGCTATAGTATTGCTATCATAGGAAGTGACAAAAAGGTTAACGTTATCAAGTTTCAATAGTAAATGTGAGAGCTGCTTCTATGAGCTTTTTAATTGAGTTTTTAAAATTTAGAGACAAGTTAGCAAAATCGTAGTACAAACAATTAGTCAGTCGTTGCTCCAATAGCATTGTACCTAAGGAATACCAAGTGCATATATACGTTTGATTTTAGGGAGTTTTAACGAAAAGCACATTGTAATGTTCACTTTAACGAAAAATCATATTTTTACACTAAAAAGTCGAACCTGCTACTATTCACTTTACCTTTTATTTTGTCTTTATCTTTAAAACTCAAAGTTTTCAAGTCATTTTCATTAGTTTTCCTTTGATTTTATTGTCATGAAAACAATTAGGTCATCCCTTCTGCATGACAAAATTTGGCAGACCTGAGGCCCAGGCCCAAAACCCACCTTCCAAATCCACCTCTCAAATCCAACTAATAGACTCGTTTTCAAGGCCCAACAATCAATCCAATTTGCCCTTTCAAGATCATTCATTCAAACGAAAATTAATGAATACTTGAATTTTGATTGTCCAACGTTATATTCACATTAAGTGATAATAGAATAAATTAGTATGGCACTTATCATTTACAAAATTCAAACCTAAAATTTAAGTTACGAGAAATTTTTTAAGAGAAACCAAAACTTGTACATCTATTGGAGGAAAGATTCTTCAATATGTCAGCACACGAGCCGGTACGTCATATGTTATTATATAAGTAAAGAAAAATTTATTTTTTGAAGTGTTCCTCATGTGGTGTATCGCCGAACACACTGAAAATTTTCTCCAATTAAAGAGAGTTGAGATCCCTATTTTAGACAAAGACCACTCCGCCAACAAAACCATTAAGCTAGTTCTTAATTAGGCGATTTAATTTAATTAACATTGCCATCCTCGGTAACATCAGCTTCGTAAAGCAAAGTTTTGTAACCAAGCATTAAAAAACATGTTGAGATCAAAAGCACCAGACACAACTTCCATGGAATCTGGAACCCTCTTTCTTTTTTTTCGATTGTCTGGAATCTTTTTCTTTAAGGTTTTACAGTCGGCATCCGGCCACCCCCACAACCACATCATATAAAATTACAATCTCACCAAATTCAATACCACCTTATTCTTTCTTTACCTTTTGACACCGGCTAATTCTTTGGTTTCATCCACGCCCATACCCTACAAGCCTACAAATTGCCTGGCCTGCTGTGAACATCAACGAGCCTTTGTCGCAATCAAGTACGAACTCATCACAAATGTATAGACTTATTTTTAACTACATTTTTTTATTTCCATTTTCATTTTACTTTTCTCTCTGTAACTCAAAAGTCACCCCTTTACTATCTGAAACTCAAAATTAATTATACTTTAACTTGTGGACTCTCGTCTCCCTGAAACTTGTAGATCGCCTCCTGAGACATATGTGGAACCCAATAGCCAATAAAATTATACCACAAGTGTAATAAATTGATTATAAATCTTCATTATGGGTTAACATTCAACAATCAAAGAATAAAAGTTTAAAAGAAATTGAAGAGATGAAAGAAAAAAAAAATTGATTAGCTTACCCAAATCAAAATCGAATTTTGAGTTTTTATAAAGACGAATTTCATGTTTCAGGAGGCAAAATGAGATCAAAATCGAGTTTCAAGGGGCAAAGTGGAGCGAACTATGCGTTTCAGGGAGTAAATGCGAGTTTTGAGTTACAGGGACTCAAGTGAGATTGAAATTGAGTTCTAGGAGGTGTAGCTAAAAATAAGCTAAATATATATTACTTTGACATTTATGTGAGTCGAACTTGAACGACAAAAAGGACAAAAAAGAAATAGTTAAATCCACACACGTTCCCCTTAACCAGAACTGTATATATAGAACCTGGAAGCTTGAAACCATGAAGCATCATCGAAACAATGGCTGCCCGCCTGCAAAACAAGATTGCGGTGGATGTTGCAGCCGATAGCAGTTCGCTCGATTCCTTCTCATTCGCTGACCTATTGTGTGTTCAGGATCAGCAATCCAAGTGCCTTCCTGCTAACAAACCCAATCAAATTCACAAACAAGGCAGAGAGTTTGAGTTTAGTTACTCAGAGTCCATAGTGACCGACCCAATCAAGCATTATCCGGCAGACCTGTTGATATCGAATGGTCAGATCATACCAAAAGCAACCGAGCTTGAATCGACACAGTGTCCGGAGACAGAGCAGCTCAGCATCAAAGGTCCAGTACGAGCAACAAGTACCAGAAATATGAGATCGACTGAGACCGCCAGTGTCACAGAAGTATATGCTAAGCCACATCCAGAATCCAGAAACCAAGAGAAAAAGGAGAAGCCTGCACCCAGATCATCGTTCGGCAAGAAAATGTTCAAGTCATTTGTCTTCCCTTGCAATGAATGCAAAGTTGCTAAGCCAATCGAGGGAGCACATAGAGTGTCGAGAAAGTCACATTGATATGAAGCTCCTTTTCCTTTCAATTCTTTCTATTTCAGCTAATCAAAAGTCCATAAATTAGTAGAGAACAAACTTAAGACTTTGAAGTGAGGCTTCAATATAACCTGAGTCTGTTTCAGTTAGCAACAATCAATAAAAATTCAGACATGAATATCTTTTCTCAAGCTCTGATCACTAAACGACTCGATGGCAGATTCTCAACAGTCTCAGGTCACTTGAAGTCACTAATATAAATCTGTTTTGCAGCAGTCAATGCCATAAACCGATAAACAGCCCCGACTTCTTTATAATCCAGTTCAAGCTTCATCATAACGACACGATGCATTGTAAAGAGAACTACAAAAAGTATAATTCAACCTACTGAAATCACGGGAAATTAACTAACATCCTACAGGATTCATGGCATCTCAGTATCATTTCCCTCTTCTTTTACTTAATCCTAAATCTTGATCATACCAGGACTAAGCTAGTGGTTGAAACTGGTTAGGCCTTTGATGCTAAAAAAATACTTTGACTCGGGTTGAGAAATCATACATCTGGTGGAATCTACCTTATTCTAGAGATGGGAAAATGGAAAAAACATTACAGCATGATTGATTTTACACTTTCTGCACACTGACCCTGAATTAGTTGCAGGCTTGCAGCTATCAGACCTCAACAACAATCCCATATGTAATTTATTTTCCCAAAGAAAATCAGGGTTTTAGGACTCCATGATGATAAACTGATCTGTTAAGGACAAATAAAGGTAACAAGGTACTAGGACATCGATCTTATTCTCCTATTATTATGTACACCTCAGTAAAGAAAAACAACTACTTAGCTCAAAGGGTCCGGCCCTTTTAGGCAGTGGGTATCGGGTGCGAAATACAGATATTAACACTTGAGAATAGAACTCCCAAAAACATTTTACATAAATAATGAGAGTAAATTAACAAAGTATGAAATAACGGCAAGTCATAAAAAATGAGAGTTTACCTTAATCCACAAATATCTTTAAATAATGAAACATTGTCCAGAAGAATCTGAACACCACAATTACAGATCATTATAACCAAAAATGAGGATGGAGAGCGTAAAACTTCAAATTACACATATTATACGTCAACTTGAATTTCATAAATTTAAAACAAACATCTTTAAGCATCTATAATATCAGAACCATACATTTTACTATCCTAAAGTAAAACTGCCACTCTTCCAAGTTCTTTGTAGGCAGTAAAAGAGTTTATGCAAATATACTGAATCAAGATACCAAAATTTTGATCAATTACATATCCAGCATAACTTGTGGAAGACTAATGCACAAACTGTAAGCTCAACTATAAGGGTCCCATATGGGTGATCATTAATTCCCAAACCAAAAGTTCTCATTTTAACACGTCACTCCACAGCGCCTCTGAATTGAAGCAGGGAAGGAATTGAAGACTGACCTTAGAAAGAATAAGAACCAGCATTCAGACTCTTTGATAAAATTTGCAAAGACCCTCAAGCTGAGTTAGTTCAAGCCTAAGGCAATCTTCCTTGCATAAAAATGAAATGAATTACAACCATTTTTCTATAACACAGACTAGGATTAACACAGACCTAGATAAGTTCCAGTCATGACACCGTTTACCTCAA